TACATGTAAAATCCTTTCGACATCTAATTTCCCGATTAAGTCTTGGGTATGATTTTGTCGAAACCCAAATTGACTTAATAACTATGATTCTATTTCATGTTTATTAACCCGGTTATGAATCACTATTCATCTCTGCCTTGGCCAAGGACTTTGGATTAATAACTATGAAACACATAGGAAATTCACTTATCTTCATAAGTGTCGAATCCTTTATTGGCCACTAACAAACTTCCATACATATTAACATAATACCCAACTTATCCCTTTAAACGATAGTGCTAGCTACCAAAAGGATAAATCAAAGTAGAATGTAATATGCACAAAGTTACCATTGTGCCTCAAGTCTTAGGATTAGTCATGTACTATTGTAACATGAAAATTCTTATTCGACTGAATAAATTCTTCATTAAGAATTTTCATACGGTCATGTTCAGTGAACTTGTTCTCTAACAAGCACCCACATAAATGTACTTACGTCTTACGCTAATGTTGATGGAATGCAACATTCTTGTCCAACAAGCATACAAACTATGTGCAAGTCTTTTATGGATTATTCGATATCCCATCTCGAAACATCCATCGACTTGGAACTGTATTTAAGATCACGGCTTTCAAGGTATGTTCCATGATCACCATCTCTATGCGCAACCATACCTTATAACCATAAGTGATCTAGGGATTTTATCTTAAGTGCAATTATAAGATAAATGCTTTCTCTTAAGATAAAGAAATGCCTTATTCATAATATAATTTCAATAGACTGTATTTACAAGTAGAATACGTCCAATTAGATTGGAACGCCGGGTACCCTACTCTAACAGTGTTATTCGTGTTAAGTTTAAACGTGCTATGTAATTGTGATTATGATTTCATGTGATTACGTTTGAATATTGATGTCGTGTTATACGTGATCTTGGTCGATTCGTGCAAATCGAATGAGAACACGTTAAAAGTGTAAATTTGCTGTGGATTTAGGGACTTAGGATTATTACGAACACAATGACGTTGGCCTTGTGTCGATTGGAGGTGTATATTTGCCGTTATGATTTTTCGAAGATATAAATGGCTGTTTTGAATGTGAAATTCATTATAAATTGAATACTAGCTTGATTGCCTTGAAATTTTAGGTGCAGCTGTCTTTGATGAACATATAGCTTGTGTAAGCTTTTCGTGATTTTTGAAGGTCTGGAACTATTTTTAAAAATTAATTTGATTTCTGTTCAGTCTCTTGTAAAATGCATAAGTAATTGTGTAGTGTTCTTTTCTAGCCAATTTTAGAGTATGTTATGTTTTAGGCATGATTATATGTGGTGTAAAATTTTTAGAATTTTGGAACTAGGTTTGATAGGGTTAACAAATTATTTTGTGATTCTACCCGAATTTATTTTAATTATGATAAACTGTTCTGATGTTGAAAAATTCTGAAAATTTGTGGAGATGCTGACTATATGATGTTTAGCATGCTGTAAAAAGTTTAGAATTTTTAGAGTTCATTAGTGATCAGTTCTGATATAATTGTGATATTTGGCTGATTGTGGTTTTAATTTTATAAAGTTGTTATCCTGAGTGTTGAAGGCTGACAAATTTATGCGATGTTGTTCATATGCTGTAGTATTTAAGTTAAAAATTTCAGAGCCTGAAACGTTCACTATCATGTGCTTTTAATTTAAACTCATTTTTGCTTAAAAACTTGTTTGAATTTTATAACATTATGCATAAGGAGTTTGAAGCTAAAATTGGGTGATCTTACTTAGAACTGGGATGTGAAATTTATGTTAAAGTTTCAGAACCTAACTTATTGATTTGATATGCCTTCTAATTCAAGTGTGAATTTGAGAAATTGTTTTTCTATGTTGAAATGTGTTAAGTGTTGATGACCAAATGTGCCATGTGTTTTGCTTGTGGCTCGTTTGTTGTCTTTCACTTGCTTTTGTGTAAACTCGAATATGTGGTTTGATCGAGTCTAAGTCCTAGTGTTCCCATATCCACAGAACTTCACGAACCACTTGGTCGAACCGAGTTCGGCTAAGTCAACTTGTGAATTTGCTACATAGGTCTAGATTAAAGTGTTGACTTTAGTATCTGGACTTAATGTAGGTGTCGAGAGGTGTTGAACCTCGCCTCGTCTCGAGATTTGTGATTTGAACTGTAGCTGCTATCAGGTGGGTACATTTATGATGTATTTTATTGCACTTACTATTTCGTATAATGTTTCTTTTGAAAAATTATTGTATGCATGAGAACTCTATTCTAAGTGTCCCGAACGATAGTGCCTTTGACGAATGCATAACAGTGTAAGGTCACCTGCCCGTTGTATCCGGGAGAAGGCGCCTTGATCCGTGTGAGTTTCGGGGGAAAAAAACATCTCCACTGTCTCCTGGAAAACATCCATGATCCGTGAGTAGTTCGGGGTGGACTCCCATGATCCGTGAGTAGTTCGGGGTGGGGGAAATTTTTCAGTTACGGCCTTGCCGATGTTTGGTCGGAAGGTTATTGTATGTACATAGGAGGTTTGCGATAGGGCCAAGTAGGGAGTTAGACTGTTGGATTCTATGCATACTGAATACTATGGTTATGATGGTTTAAAATGTTATGCGAGATATACTGTGCGATAATGGTGAGCTTGTTGGTTATGCTCACCCCCATTATTTTCTTTGTTGTTTTCTCTCTTCCTTTGTTGTAGGTTGAGACGAGCTGGAGGTGGTGGCGTAGGACGAGCGAGATGGTGGTCACTGTTTGATGATATCTTATGCTTCCGCATGAACTTGTTACTTATTTTATTTGCTTTCAAATACTTTGGATTATTTATTTATTTGCCTACGAACTATGTTTGAGTTTCGTTTGAACCTTGATTCATGCCAGACGTTTGGGAATGATTTTAAAATTATGATTATTGGGATTGTTATTTTGATAGCTCGAGCATGCGTAGGTTCATTGAACTGATTGTTTGGATGTGTTTAATTGTTGTAGTTAGTAAACAGCGTCGTTTCTCGATAAATGTTTTAACTTGGATTTTCAAAAAAAAAAAAAATATACTCTGATTTTCAAAATAACTCTGATTTTTATCAAATAAATTCGGTAAATTCTTTAAATTAAACGGGGCGTTACACCTAGATATAACACAACTCGTTTAAATTGAGCAATTAGAGAACACTCAAACGAAATTGAACCGGTGCAATTATCCCCTAACCCTAGCTATGAATTTAGCTACTCATCAAAAATTCAACATCAACATTACCATCAATCAAAGCCATCATAAGCCCAAATAAAATGAAATAGAAAGCTTACGATTAAATACGAATCAAATGTCGAAAAGCAACGAGCAATCCAAATCCAAAGGTCAAATGTTAGAGTTTTCACTATCCAAGATTGAAATCTAATGAAAAACAAGAGAAAATGTGTTTTGGGGAGTGAAAAACGCAATACAAAATTCTGAGAATGAATAACATTTGCCCTCGGTTCGATATTAAAAACTCCTCGAATTCAAATCCAAAAAAAATCGCGTCTGCTTAAAACAGACCTTAGCGGCACTAAGGTGCCTTAGCGCCGCTAAGGTATCTTAGCTGTTTGGGCCAGCCATCGATAAGAAAGGTAGCGCCGCTAGCCTTATTAACCTTAGCTGGGAGGTCCAAAAGTTGCTTTCCTTCGGCTCGCGTGCTCGGCTCGCGTTGCTCGGGTACTGCCCAAGCTGAAAACTCGCCCTCTGCATGTTTGGTCGCATGAACTGGCGGAACGACCTGAAACCACCAAAACCAGAAAAAACAGGAAAAGCAAGGAAAGGGGAGAGAAAAGCAAAGAAAATGCTAAACATACCAAGATAAAGATAAAACACGAGAAATGACTAAACGGACCGGTAACACCTAAGAAACGACCTAAAACGGGGGTAAATACACGCAAAACATAAATAAAAATAGCAACAAAAATGGGACAAACAACTCCCCCGCACTAAAACCTTTGTTCGTCCCGAACAAAAAGAAATGAAAAGAAAAGAGAGATAAACAAATGAGCAAGGACAACGGTTCAAGCAAGACTAATCTCAAACCAATCAATCAAGTCAAGAAAAATTCAAATGATCACAAGAGCACACCTCAACTATTAACTTGGCTATTTTGAAGGACATAAAATCTCGAATGCAAAAGTATATCATATGTTCCTCACTCAATTTCTTTCTCAAATATCAGCTGGGTACACTCAAATTGGTCGTCAGTCGAATCAATCATAAGTTTGCTTATCGTCTAACTCCTACTCTAAAACAATCAAATTCGTGAAACAATGAATCAAGAGGAATTTAAGGGATGTAACGTAGTCACTTTGGATCGGGTAGGATAAATATAGGCTAACTGGCTAAATAAAAATCAAATCAACCCAATCAGATAACCATAATCATGAACTCCTCCGGTTGCTGACACCAACCGGTTCCCCCCACTACTCCAAAACCAACATACTTCCCAAATTATTCACCATTTCTCTACTTTTTCTATTTTTTTTTTTTATGTGAGAACCTTTGGACATTTTATGTAATCCATTCGGTTTCTCTCTTTTTTTTCTTTTTTTATCTAAATATATATACAAACACGAATCACCTCAACTTCTTAACTCAATCAATCAATCATCAACTAGTCTTACAATACACCAAAGTTCAAGCTCAGGAAGACACCAACAAGTAATCCTACAAACTAGACCGGTCCACGAAGCAAGAGAAAAGAAAAAGCATCATAAAAATAAAAACTAGACCTGGTCAACCCCACGTAAACACGTAAAACTCTCCAACAATTAAAATTAGACAATGTCCCCATTGTCAATCCTAAGTACAAGAGAGCTAGATCACACAATTAACCGATCATAAAATAAAATAAGCTATACAAAAATAAAAGAGAAAGAGAAAAAAAAAACGTACAAAGCACAGTGACAAGTCACTGTGCATCTGGTGATGGCGATGGAGGGTTGTTGCTCCCCATCTGATGAAAGTCGTCCAACGTGTCTCATTCCGAGCCTCATACTTTGATAACCAAACTGGAGAAACCGACTGGGAAGACTCACCCGTGTGCGCATCTATCGATGGAGAAGGCTGAATGGTCTCGTGAGCGGGATGTCTGTCGGCGTCAGAGTCGTCCCCGTCCTCATCATGAGAGTTCTCGCTGGCTGAACCGGCTGATGTACCGGCTGCCGGTTGGGACTCGTCGTCTAGATAGTGTATACCCATTTCCTTGCAATAGGCCTTGTAGCTGGACTGCTTGGTGACGGGATTCGGGGTGTGTGGGTTGATCAGGTAGCCGACGTGCTAGAGGTACTTCTGTGACATCTGCTTGGCACGAATTGGGGGTTCGTCGATGTCAACCCCAAAGTACTCGGCTAACTTGGACACCACATGGCCCAAGTTTGGACCACGCCTCGTGTCGTTGCGTATGTCGAAAAGGGTGTCCTTCAGGTACTGCAACATGGTCACCGGCTTGTCGTGAGAAATCGACCACAAGATGAACACCTGCTGCTCGCTCACCTTGTTTGACTCCTTCTTGTCGAAGATCATTTGCGATATGTACTTGTGGATCACCACATGAGCCAAGTCGCTGATTAGACCCGAAGACAGCCCCGACTTCTTATATGTCGCATGGGGAGATGATCGCCCAACGCGGGTCGACTTTGAACCCCATGGGGCTTGTTGACACCCGAGTTCGAGAGCCGAACCGGAAGACCCGGTCCACTCGGAAAGTGCCGAGCTGGACCGGATTATTTTTTGACCTAGACGTCCCCATGAGTCCGTCCGCCAGTCCGGCGTTTGCGACTACGAAGCCCCGATGCCGACCTGAAGAGTGACGGTCTGGAAGAAAAGTTCCCTAGGGTCGGAGGAACAAGTAAAAAAAAGGTGCCGACTTGGAGTCCCAGGACGGGCTCCTGCAATGAAGGTGTCGACCTCGATAGTATTATAATAATGCCACTTGGAGGGTAATCATTGGCTAATGGATGGGACGCCCTAGCCTGTTGACCTACTTCCCCTAGCCAAGACATAAAGCCTGTCAGCATTAAATGCCCGTCAGACAATGATGAGGAAAACCTCAAATCGCATTAAATTCTGTCAGGGAGGCGCCGAACTACTCTGCAAAAAACACTGTACGACAAGATTGATGAACAGTACCTGAACAGTGCCACATTTAAGGCAACTATAAATAGCAGCCCACTTCATTTATTTTGGGTTGTTGAATCTCAACTGTAAAGAGCTCTTTCTATATTTTCTCTCTCTAAGACTTGTAAGAAATTCGTGTAAGAAATCGCAAGTGCCGACCTCGTACGAGAGGCCGACCTCGTGATCTTTTAATAAAACTGCAATTAAACCGTATTTCCTTGTCTTTTCTTTATTTCTTTTCCATTATTTACCTTTTTAACCGTTGACCGGAAACGCCCGTCAACAGTTTGGCGCTAGAGGAAGGGTATCATAAGTTATTTGGTGTCAACTTTTCGATCTTGTGAAACTCCACATCACGCTCATCTTTTTCCCACTTTTTCACTTTCTAAAGCAACTCAAAATGCCTTCATCTGGACATGACGATTCCACCCAGCAATCCGGCTCTCAGCCACGTCGACGCAACGGCGGGGAGTCCTCCCGTCGCGTTCAGCAGGGGCCCATAGTCCCTGTTCCCCCAGTTCCGACATTCGCTGCAGCTTTGCAGCATCCCGACGTCCTCAAAGCCCTCGAAGGGGTCTTCGCCAAGGCCCTCGCCAGTCAAACCGCCGGGGCAAACACTGTGGTGCCCACGGAGAACCCCGGTAACACTTTGCTCCACACTCCTGAAAAGGAGACAGGTGGACAGAGGAACCCAGCGAAATCCAAAACCACGGCCCAATCGCCGAACCGCGAGGCCCAGAACCGCCGCGACAGGAGTACCAGACTGACTCCCACAGAACAGACAGGGGAGAGCCGGCCGAAGCGAAGCCTCCCGGTCGTTCGTCGCTCTGTCCACCAGCGCCTGGGTGACAAGAGCCACGCCAACCATGATCTCCGGGAGGTGATCAGGCGCGGCAAAGCCATCGGCCACGACACTGAAGAGGTCGCAGCCCTCAAACGCAGAATTGCCGAATTGGAAGGTCGGCAACCCACCGGGAGTGAGCTTTCATTCCCAGCTCATCAACAAACCCATACACGGCCCACTCCTCGGGTCGCGGATAACGCCTCACCTCTCTCCCTCGATATCCTGCAAGAGGCCGTCCCGAAGGGAATACAAATACCCCAGCTCGGCCTCTATGACGGGAGCTCGGATCCCGACTCGCACCTCGGCCTTTACACCTCATGGATGGACCTGCACGGCGCCTCCGATGCCCTGCGCTGCCGAATGTTCTCTTTGACGCTGGGGCCCAAGGCGCAGAGGTGGTACCATTCCCTTTACCCCCGCTCCATCTCGACCTGGGCGCAGCTCAGGTCGGCGTTCCAGTCCCACTTCATCGGGTCGCAGGTTAATCTCGCCCCCAAAGAATCAATCTCCAACATCGTACAGGGCGAGAATGAAAGTCTGAAGGACTACATCGCCCGATTCAATGACTGGGTCCAAAACATGGAGCGGTGCCACCCGGACGCCCTGCTTATCACAGCCCAGGGTGGCCTCAGACCGAAGACGCTGTTCAGGTGGTCCCTATGCCAGAACAAACCGACCACCTACCAGGAGTTCCTCACTCGCGCTCAGGACTACATCATGGCGAAGGAATCCTCATCCATCCCGACTTTCGACGCCACACCGGCACCGGCACCGGCAAAGGCGAAGGCAAAGGAGGAAAAATCGGGGAAACCAAACAAGTCCTTTGCTGAGATTCGAGCTCAGCGCAAACAAAGGGCCGAAGAATTGAGGGAAAGCTACCAGGGCGTCTTCTCGGTAGGGGCTGCGGCGGTCTACGAGAAAATCAAGGCCAAGGGGTTATTACCAGACCCCAAGCCGATGTTCACCGACAAGGACAAAGTAGACAAGACCCGCTACTGCACCTACCACAAGGCACACGGGCATAATACCGATCAATGCCGGAATCTGATCTCGGCACTTCTGAAGCTGATCGATGACCCCCAACTTCGGAAGTTCACTCACTCCGGAGACAAGAGAAAGAAAGGGGGGCGCTTTGAGGAAAACCCCGACAGTGACGAGGATGCCGACGTAAATCCTCGAAGAAAGAAGTCGCAGCAGGGCGGCCCTCATGAGATCATGACCTTCTGCCCCACCCATCAAGATGAGGCCGGCACCTCCAGGGGCAGAAAAAGAGACCGGCCCCCTCGCACCGGGGCCGACCCGGCCAACCTCCCAACTCGGCGTGTCAACACAAGCCGGAGCGAGTCCCTCCTCTCCCGGAGACAAACCAAGGCCTATGCCCGACAGGCCTATCACGCCGGGCAAAGGGTGATGCATGCCCACAGCAGACCGGCGCCAGAGCCGACCCCAAACACCATCACCTTCAACGACGAAGACGCCTTCCTGTTCGACCATCCCCACTCCGACGCCCTGGTGATCACGGCGCCGATCATGGCGATAAAAATCCACCGAATCATGGTCGACACCGGGGCCTACACCAGCATCCTCTACTACGAGACCTTCAAAAAGATGGGGATCGATAGGAAAGAGGTGCAGCCTTGCCGGGAGCGGATCCAGGGCTTCAACGGCCAGACCATCGCCCCGGTTGGTCAGGTCACGCTGCCAGTCCGGTTCGGAGACAGGGGGCAGCCCACGAAGACGATCTTGGAAACCTTCAAGATCGTGGACTGCCCAAGTGAATATAACGCCATACTGGGCAGGACGGCGCTCTACAAACTGAAGGCCGCTGTCTCCATCTTTCATTATTCCCTCAAATTCCCAACTCCCGATGGGGAGGGGACCCACCGAGGAGACCAAAGGGAGGCGCGGGAATGCATCCTGACCATCCCGCGCACCGAAATAAATGTGGCGAACCTACAGGAGGATGCCGGGGCGGCAGACACCGAGTCGGCACACGACGGTCACGGGGGCAACCGCATGCTGGGAAACCAGACAGGTTCGCACCCCCTGATCTCATCGGGTGCCGACCCCACAGCCATGGAGCCCAACGCCGGAGCAGATAACTCGGCCCCAGGTGCCGAGGTGACGGACTCCGTCGAAGACGGAGTCGAAGACGACCTCGACGGGGACAGGGGGAGAAGGGCCGGCAAAAGGCCGATCATGGAGGAGGACGAGCTCGACCCTCGCACACAATACGAGGAAAAACGGGGGACGAAGAGGGCCGAGCCAATGGACGAAGTCGAGGTCATCTTCATCGATGAAGAGACCTGCCAGAAACAACTACGGATTGGGAGCAGGCTGCCGGGGCCCATGAAGGCCGAACTGACCGAATTTCTCCGGAAAAACGCAGACGTCTTTGCGTGGACACACGAGGACATGGTCGGCATCGACCCACGGGTCGCCTGCCACCGGTTGCAGGTCGACCCCACGGTCAAGCCGGTCGTGCAAAAGCGGAGGAAGCTCGGCCCCGACCGGCAGCAAGCCCTAGAAGAAGAGGTGACCAAGCTCAAGGATAACGAGTACATACGCGAAGTCCGGTACCCGACCTGGGTGGCCAACCCGGTACTCGTGAAGAAGAGCAGCGGGGCATGGCGGTTGTGCATTGATTTCTCCGACCTAAACAAGGCGTGCCCCAAAGACAACTATCCCCTCCCTCACATCGACTACATGGTCGACGCCACATCAGGGCACGAGCTGATGAGCTTCATGGACGCGTACTCCGGCTACAATCAGATTCCCATGCATCCGGACGACGAGGAGCATACCTCCTTCTACTCGGCACGTGGTCTTTACTGCTACACCATGATGCCGTTCGGACTGAAGAATGCCGGGGCCACCTACCAACGTCTAGTTAATAAAATGTTTGCTAGTTTGATAGTTGAATGTATGGAAGTGTATGTAGATGATATGTTAGTCAAGTCCGTGTACGCGTCCAATCATGTAAACGATCTTAATAAAATGTTTTCCATTTTGCGTGATTATTCGATGAAGTTAAATCCCAAAAAATGTACTTTCGGTGTCGGATCGGGAAAATTCTTAGGGTACATAGTTAGCCAGCGCGGCATCGACGCAAACCCCGAGAAGATCAAAGCAGTGCAAGACCTTCGACCGCCGACGTCGATCAAGGGAGTTCAGAGCCTGACCGGCAAACTCGCGGCCCTGAGCAGGTTCATCTCGAAGTCCACCGACCGCTGCAAACCGTTCTTCGACGCTATCAAGAAAAATCATAAGTTCGAGTGGACGCCGGCCTGTCAAAAGGCGTTGGAGGCTATCAAGGAAACTCTCAGCCAGGCCCCAACGATGCAAAAGCCCCGTCCAGGTGAAATGTTATATCTGTACCTGGGAATTTCCGAGGTGGCCGTAAGTGCCGCCCTGATTCGGGAGGATGATTCAGGCCAGTTCCCGATCTACTACGTGAGCAAGGCTCTTCACGATGCCGAGCTGAGGTACCCGCAAATGGAAAACTCGCCTTCGCCCTGGTGACTGCGGCCCGAAAACTCAGACCGTACTTCCTGGAGTACTCGATCACCGTCCTGACGGCCTACCCACTGAGACAAATCCTGCATCGACCTGATACCTCGGGCCGAAT